ATTATTCATTAAATGTTCATTCACTTGCTTTTTGATTTCTCATTGTTATGCAGAATCTGCGTTTTTGGATTCTTAATTTTTTTTTTCTGTTCTTTGTAAAATGGTCCTCTTCTTTCTTTCAACAGGGGCTGTTATTTCCAGGTTGGAAGCTCTCTTAAACTTGGGATGTCAATTCCTGCTGCCTTTAGAATAGCACTTGAAACTTGGGCATCATGGGTTGAGAGAGAGATTAGTAAAAATAGAACACGCATCTTCTTTAGGACTTTTGAGCCATCTCACTGGAGGTACCTACTTTACTGTTAACATGATTTTCTATTTAAGCATGTCTATCTTTTCTTTATATAGTATATATTTATTAGAAAGTGGGTTTTAAGCCTAACTCAACCCCACAAAACCGGCTTGTAAGGTGAGGTTTGCACCTCACTTATATATTATAAATTGGTCTTATCTCTAGTCGATGTGGGACTTCCAACACACCCTCTTCACGCCGAGGTATAGACATCTCGTGCGTGATAGTAGAAATTGGGTGGTCCAATAACGGCCCGATTGCGGGTGGAATAGAAGAATAGAATGCCCACTTAGAACTCGCTAGGATAGGCACTAACCATGGCTCTGATACCATATTGAATATAGTGAAAAACTATATTTGGATTAATCTCCCTTGTGTAAAATACACACATAGGGTTCTCTATTTATAATAAAAGAAATATGGGCTAAGCCCAAAATACAAAAGAGAAATAATAACAAACTAACTAAAAGATAAAAGATATAATATATCTAACATGCTATTGAATATAGTGAAAAACTATATTTGGATTAATCTCCCTTGTGTAAAATACACACATAGGGTTCTCTATTTATAATAAAAGAAATATGGGCTAAGCCCAAAATACAAAAGAGAAATAATAACAAACTAACTAAAAGATAAAAGATATAATATATCTAACATGATATTGAATATAGTGAAAAACTATATTTGGATTAATCTCCCTTGTGTAAAATACACACATAGGGTTCTCTATTTATAATAAAAGAAATATGGGCTAAGCCCAAAATACAAAAGAGAAATAATAACAAACTAACTAAAAGATAAAAGATATAATATATCTAACATGATATTGAATATAGTGAAAAACTATATTTGGATTAATCTCCCTTGTGTAAAATACACACATAGGGTTCTCTATTTATAATAAAAGAAATATGGGCTAAGCCCAAAATACAAAAGAGAAATAATAACAAACTAACTAAAAGATAAAAGATATAATATATCTAACACTCCCCCTCAAGCTGGAGCATACAAATTGTATGAACTAAGCTTGGAATAGATGAACTCAGTGTTGAACTAGATGATTTGTCTTCAAGAGTGTGAGGCAAACATAGATGGACTAACAGCAGCTTGTGAAACTTCAACTTCAAAAGTGGATGAAGAAGAGCAGTGGTGGACAATGACAAACTACAAGGACTGATTCCCAATCAATGATGGATGAGTGACGGGATCAACAGTGGTAGCTGAAAGTTAAGAGCTACAAAACTGCAGGGACTACACTAAATCCTCATCAATGATGGATGGGTGATGGGATCAACAGTAGTAGCTGAAATCTACAAAACTGCAGGGACTACACCCATATATATGTGACTTGTAGTGTTGTCTTGGAACCATACTCCCCCTCACTGACTGATGGGGCCTGCAGGGACTAAATTGCCTTCACTGATTGATGGGGCCTGTAGTGGCTGGAAGCGACAAAACTACAGGGACTGCCATCACTAACTGACGAGGTGATGGGGGCCTACAGTGGTTGGAAGCATACGGCGCCTGGACAGCGGCAAACGGCGCGACAGCGGCAAACGGCGCGACAGCGGCAAACCTGTCTCTTCTGAGAAGTGGCTCTTGAAACCGGCGTGGTTGGCCGTCGCTCGAAGAGACGGTCTAGATCCGAAGGTCACCTGTCGAAACTGTGATGGTGGCCGGCGGTGGCGACGGCGACAACAGCGGCGACGACGGTGGCCGGCCGCGGACAGAGGTTGGAAGCGGACAGTGGCTGGCGATGGTCGACAGTAGAGGCGACTGGCTGCACTGGTATTGACTGTGGCACAAATTTAAGAAGAAGAGAAAGGGCTGCCCACTGAAATTTTAGGGCTGCCCACTGAAATTTTAGGGGCTGCCCGCGGCCATGGCGGCTGGCCGCCGGCAGACAGCAGAGACCCCGGAAGAAGATCAGAGAACCTGCTCTGATACCATATTAGAAAGTGGGTTTTAAGCCTAACTCAACCCCACAAAACCGGCTTGTAAGGTGAGGTTTGCACCTCACTTATATATTATAAATTGGTCTTATCTCTAGTCGATGTGGGACTTCCAACAATATTATTGCTTAAAATTATTCCTTTCCATGGTAAAACCTTTTTAACCTAAGTTAGAACTATGCCTATCATTCCCACCGCCCCAAATATATACTTACATGTAACTTTGCTCAGTTTATAGGAATTTTTATTCATGCACTGGGATTTCTTATCTTTGAAATCTCACTTCAAAAGTTATTGATCCAGCCTTTATGGTTGATGCAGTGATCTTACCCGTAGAATTTGCAATGTGACACAGTACCCAACATTAGAAACTGATGGAAGGGATCAAAGCTTGTTTTCAGATACAATTTTAGACGTTGTAAAGAATGTTACTATTCGTATAAATGCTCTCCATGTTACTTCTATGTCTGCTTTCCGGAGTGATGCACATGTTGGTAATTGGAGTGACAATTCATCTATTCAAGATTGTAGCCATTGGTGTCTTCCTGGAGTACCTGATATGTGGAATGAAATTATCCTGTCCCAACTTTTTTCTGAATCTGAAATTCCTTTTCAACAAATTGAATCAATCGGTAAGTTCAGTTATCTTCTGATACACTTTAATTTTTGAGTTTTGCGTGGGAGTATGTGGTATGATTTAAACATATTCATGACCGGCTAACATGTACAAACTTGGCATGACTTTTATCGATTGAGTCACTCCCCATATGTTTTGGAATTAGACATACATTCCTTGAGTTGACCTATGCGCATTAGAGTATCTATGTCCGCCTATGATGCACAGACACTATATGTGTATTGGATATACGTCGATACACTTATTATGAAAATAATAGGATACGACGTGATATATGCATATTGAAAAGTAAGCAAAATTCTTAAAAACATGATAATAAATATATGATTACTATTGTGTGAATCCAAATTGAATCAAATGTACTAAACATTGTCAAAATAAAAAGTTATAAATTATTGTATTTGTTTACTATCCACTATCTTGGGGTAGACCAGTATTATAAAAGTATTTACTGTTTTATAGATTAGATACTTATTAATAAGTATTTGTAAGGTATCCTAAAGTATCTGATATGGATATATATCAGACATGGATATGCGACACAAACTGAAGTATCATGAGTACTCATATTAATAAATCAATATTAGTCATACAAGCAGTTAGCAATCACTTAATTATTTGTCTAAACATCGTTGGTTAACATAGATGTTACTATTATTATATTATTGTAAAAGAGTTGTCAATTAATGGTATATAAAAGAAGAATTGTCAAAACATAGTTTCCCTTGTCATATATACAGTGCAGTAAAGAGATTTTTTTCCCTTCTCTTAAGTCGGATGAATTTAGTTATAACTTTTCTTTTAGGTTAGATGTTATACATGTAACTTAGTTATGACTTTTTTTAGGTTGGATGTCTCAGAGAGAATATTTTTCTTATACCTTCTAGTGCTTCATCGTTTTTAGAAAAAAATACATTTCACGTATTTTATTTATGGGTGCAGATTAGAGAGACTAACACTCTTAGTCGTTGCAAGCGTACCTCAAATTCTGATGCCTCCTAAGAAGTATGGATCGGATTCTAATACCATAAATCTGAAGCCATCTCATTCTTCAATTTTGAACTCTGCCATCGACCATGGTTTTCTTCAACACTCAAATGTACCAGGTTTTGTAAAAGTATGGTCCAATTACACATAACAGCTTGTTAAAACAAATTAAACAGGAAGCAATTCTTTAATTTGCCAATTCTTTGTATATCAGTAAAGGTATTGTCTGAGATGCATGTCATGATTTTTGGTTTTGGTCATGACAATACTGTTCTGCATAGGAAAAAGTGAAGGAGAAGGAAAGTACAGATCAATCAATTTCTTTTTTTCTTTTCAGATTCCGTCTTAATTATGTAATTGCTCTTTATTCAAATGGATTTGTGTTTAAATCCTTGCTTCACTTGGATGCGGTTTCTCACTTTTTCTATCGGCCTTGCGAAAAATGGAGGCACGGCACCATTTGACAGGATCAATCATGGGATCACCCCTATTCAGAATTTCAGACACTTCATGTTCGTATCTATATATGTTTTTCACTCAATACATTGCGTTTGGAACAATCAAAGATTGTGTGGAGACCCATCCAGTCAATTGTAAATATGGATAAATCGACATGTTTTAGAATATTTGACATCTTTGGAAAACAAAAAATCGGTGGACAATCTGGATACACAATGTAAAATCCAATTACAGTCCATAAAAGGTACTGTGTACATTCCCACAGATCGACATATATCAGTTTCTGAATCTATGTTTCGATGGGACATTTATTTCGTTTCGCATTTGGAACATGATCATCTTTAGGAAATGTTTATTCTTATTTTACAATATAGAGAAGAGAAAAATTGAGGATTTAATATAATTAAATCACATCTCTAACGAAATTTTGTAAAGCACAAGTTACGGAAGAAAAATACTTTCCTTTAAGCTGAGATAATTATGCAGTTAAGTGTACCTATCGAAAATAAGCAAATAAAACCTACCTCTTATCTATAAATACATGTAATCGATATTTCATGCTTATGTTTCGCCTCTACCCTGTGTTCGCCATTAAATTCATTTGCCATTCTTGCACTTATTTAATCTTTCGAACATGAGATGGGACAAGAGAAGAAAAAGAGGTCCAGAGAGGTCTCCAAGATGAAGATTGTTTTCACTAAATATTATATTGGAACCTATATTACAGAATAGGTCAAAAACAATGAAAACGACGAAGGGGAAATGTGACTTCCGAATAAATGGCGCACAAAAAGATGTACAAAGACAGGCATGGATGAAATTTCTCAGGAATTGAAAAATCATGGATCAATGGCCATTGGAGTAATACGCTTCCTGGCTGGCTTATTTGATAAGGGTGTACTCTTCGAACTGGACAATTGTTGCTGAGCCTTTTCTTCTGCCCCTGATTTTATACTGTCCAAACTTGATTGCAGAGTTGCTGTCTTCTCCCTTGATTCCGTTTGTTTTCCATCTGAATCTGGATTAGCTAGCTGTTTCTCAGTCTTGTCTTGAGCTCCAAAACTTACTGTACCCAAATTCCATGGCTGTTTCGCTGCCTTATGTTCTGCTTCCGCTTTTCTTCTATCTAATTCAGCAGTACCAATTCTTCCAGTTGCTTCAATAACCATGTCATCGGTTTTCTCTTCTGCTTCATTTTTCCTACTATCTACTATAACCCCTTCAACATTCCCAGTTGCCTCTATGACCATGTTGTCAGGCTTGTCTTGGGTAAGAGTGCTCAGGTTTTCTGTTATTGCAGTGCCTATATTCCCAGACTCTCCAGTGACCATGTCAACAGCCACCGCTTCTATTTCCATGTCCTTGCTCTCTGATAGAACTGCACTAAAATTCCCAGTTGGTACAGTGGCATTGCCTGTCTGTACAGTACTCTTACTATCCTCCTCGACTTTTGCTTCTAGAGAAACATGCAATAAGGAAATAAAAAACATTGGACTGGTGACGATGACAGCAGAAAAATGAAGACAGCTTACCAGATAAAGAGTAAGGTGATCCAAGTTCGTCATTTTCAAATTCCACCAAAGAGCAGAAACCATCTTGTGATGACAATGCCAAATAACGAGCATCAGATGACCTTGTGAACAAATACCAGTTAGAGATAAACCTTTCCCCAAAAAATTATAATTCTCAAACCTAAAAAGGAATTGCTAGCAAATAAAAGTTACCAAGTAATATCTGTTATTGCGGCATAGTGAAGACCAGATAATACAGCTAACGGAGATATGCTCTCGGTGTCATAAATGTACAGCGAATTCAAAGTGGCCACAGCAAATATGATGCGATATGGGAGGTTAAATACACGAGCTGCACTAAACAAAAACCACTATTAGGCTTCTGTTGAGCAAGAAATTCTCCAAGATGGACATGATTTTAAGCAAATACCAATTGGTAGTGCAAGTGTCGAATTTAAGCTGACTCCCATACGACTCAAACAATTAAATTATAACAAGACAATCTAGCAGTAGGTGAGGATTGTATGGATCAGACAATGTTATTTGGCTTGATTAAAGACCATTTAAATACAACTGTTCATAAAATAGAAGTACACAGATACCTGAGTCAAGAGAGTTCGTTCCCCGAAGTTTAAAAATTATAGGACAGAACCGGACCGCTACAACAGCTTTATTTGTGCAGGGGAGCAGTATAGCAGGCCTGTATGAGGTCAAATAAATAAACACATCAAAACGCATACTTCTCTATTTGATCCATTAACATAACATGAATAACTGAACATAAAAGAGAAAATTGTAGTTTGCATAATGTCTCATGCTCTTGAAAAGGATTAAATAGCGGAAATTTTACCTAGAAAGATCTTTTCGAGAAATTATGTAAGCCGCATTCACAGTCTCAGATGCAGTATTAGTTTTGTAAGAGCCTGAAATATGGGGAGACATAAATTTACCGATAAGAAACAAAGCATGTAATAAATATTGTGCAGAAATTCAGGTCTGGGAGAAAGATACCAATATGATTCAACCAATAACAGGAAATTAAATTATGCCATGTAAAACAAGGGGAAATTATAAAAAGTTCGTCTTTGACTTAGACACTCATTCACTTCCTTGTAAAATAAAAGATGATAAACTATGAAAAATTCAAAAACTGGCCAGATTCTAGAAAAATCTCAACAACAGCTCATCCTTAGAAGTAGCACAAAAAGTAAGATTAATCAAAGCAAGATCAAGTCCAACTCAAAGCTAATACCTGCAGGCACAACTAAAAATGAACCATCAGGAGACCATGCTAATCTTCTGAAAAAAGATGGCAATGTCTCGTCGTGGAAGAGGTGAATTTTTGTCTCCTACATTAAGAAAATCAAGCGTAACGTTCAAGTATGTTACAACCTTAAACGATGCAAATAAAGACTGATATCACCATTATATGCTAACCTGAGAATTTTTTAATAATGGCTTATCTGCCTTAGAAATGACTTGCTGGCAAACATAATTGATTTTCTCAGTGCCTTTTGATTTATGAGGCTTATTCATGTAAATTCTGCAAGTCCTATCTGAACTAAGAGAAGAAGCGTATTTCCCTAGAGGGTCCCATGCAACCCCTTGAACATAGTGCGCATGGGCATCCAACGTCTGAAGGTTAGTTCCTGGCAAACAAGAATCATGTACAACATATCAACTAACATGTGCCACGATTCAAGTGTATCAAAGACACTCATGTGTTTTCTTTTTTACCTTTGTTAACATCCCATATAATGCAACAATTATCAACTGATCCAGATATGATATATGTGGCATCGGAAGACCACTGCAGGTCCAAAATGTCCTTGAGATGAGATCTAATGCATAAAAATATCCCTTATAAGTCAGAAATAAATGCAGTAAAACATGAATGCTGAAAAATAATGCAATTGGTCTTTAGACGGTTCCTGGAGCTTTGGTTTTTAACTGAAGTTAATGGTGTCCTGTAATCCTTTTTTTTTTTCGATTTCATCTGTTGAGATAAGGCTTTATTGTCATTCGTCATTACGAATGGTTGTAGTCATTGTTTGTAATGCTAGTCTAATAAGACTCATTTTTCCAAACACGTGTATTTTTCCAGAAATAAATAGGATTACATCAATATCAATATTTCAAATAAAAACGCATAAGCACAAATTTGGCACTCCCTCTCTGAATAAAATGTGGTATATTCAATTTCACAAACAGAATGGAGATCAGGCAGCTAAAATATGGAAAATTTGTTTTACAGCCTTTCGTGTTTCTTTTAACTTTTTTACAATGTTCAGCTTTTAAACTATTTAAGTATGCAAAGGCCTTACCGTAACATCTTGAGAACCTTCCATGCCTGACCAGTATCGGCAGAATTTAGCTTCCATATTATCAGGTCCCCTCCTGGATAAAGAAAAATAAAATCCGATTCAGACAAAGCATTGCTTCATTACATTAACTCAAGCTAAAATTCCTTAACCAAGGTCGTACCATCAGCGCCAGAGGCCAGCAATTCCCCTGCAAATAGTCAGAAATAGAAGTTATCACTAAACGAAAGCACCACACCGTTTCTTGCAGCACAGTAAGCGAGGAAAAATAATGCAAATTTCATTAATCGGTTCCATTTCCGTGACAACGAAAGTATAGGCTAGTAATTAACTTGGTAGATATTTGATCCAATGAAATTTTGTTGCATCCTGATTCTACGAGGAGAAAGAGAAATGGCGAATTGGAATTACCGGAAGAAGAGAAGCGAATAACATTCACTGCAGAGCTATGATAAGAGAGGTTACTGAGATAGGAAACTACGGGAAGTTTCTCCGTCCCCGATGGCTTTATCGACCAAAACTGCAAACACAAGAAAAAGAATCAAGTGAGTAATTAACCCTAATCACAAGCAAAGAACGAGAGCGAGCTAGAGAGACCTTGATGTCGAAATCGGCGCCAGCGGTGGCAAGAGTGGCGGTGAGGGGGTGAAAATCGAGAGTTAAGACGGGTTTTCTCTCGTGCCAGATAATCTGAACCGTGCCACCCTTCATTCTCTTCGGATTCGGAGGTTTAGGTTTAGAGTGTAGAAGAAGAAGCCACTCAGACACTGAAAAAATGGTTTTTCGCGCGCCCCTTTACACTTGGCGGGAAATGCAATGTGAACCCACACTACTCTTCTTCTCTTCTTCTATTTCATCCTTTTGGCTACACTGTATCATATTAACCTTTTTTGTTGAACACATTAACATTAAAATATATGGATGTTTGTCGACTTTATTGTGTTTTCTTTCAATCAATTTAATCTATCTTTCTTTAAATATATCTGATTCAAGTAAAATCGTATTTCGATTGGAATGAACACAAAAACTATTTGACATTTCACTTTTAGTTCAATTAATTTAAGACAAATAATCTCATTAATACCTATATCTATGCATTACAAAGAATGTCAAAGTAAGTCAACTTAGAGGTTAAGAAGTTAGGTTAAAAAAAATGACTTCAACTTGATACATTTGTGACCACATTTAGAAATTTTACAATTTGTCTCTACCCATTTCATTATATTAAGAAAATTAAAACACTAATTCATCTAAAAAAATTATTAACATACTAACCTTAGCAAAACAGAAAGGAGAAGAATGTGTAGAAACAACAAAAGAAGGCGGAGGAACGCGGAAAGACTAGTAATGGAGTGGAGCACGAAGAAGTGTAAAATGAACAGCCGAAGGAACTGTGGAGGATCAAGTCAGATGTGATGAGATCTGATAAAGAGAAAATAAAACAACCTAAATCTGAGAAGAGGTGACGGCGGCTGAAAATTAGATACAAATATTGTTTTAGATCCTTCCAAGATATGAAAGAGACAACAAAAATTAGAGTTTTCAAGTGGGTCACGGGTCAGTTCACCATAACCTGACTTAAACTCGTATAACTTAGATTGAATAGAGAAATACCAGTAGTGGAATAGAGGGCAAAGAAGTGTAAGATGAACACCTAAGAACACTGAAAAGCCAGAGAAACAATGAAGAATCAAGTCAGATGTGACGAGATCTGATGGAAAGAAAATAAAATAACCTAGATCTCAGAAGAGGTGGTGGCGGCTGAGAATTAAATACAAGCATTGTTCTAGGTCCTTCCAAGATAAGAAAGAGACAACATAAATTAGGGTTTTCAGATGGGTTACGGGTCAGTTCACCTTAACCTGACTCAAACCCATATAACTTATATTGAGTCAGTTCAAACCATTTTGACTCATAATCAACAAAAAGAAATCAATTTTTTTAACCTATCTCAACTCAAATATGTAATGAGCTAAGTTAATTGAGAATAATAATTTATTTTGACATGCTTAGAAGACATTTAATACAAAACTAATCATGATGTTTTAATTTCTATTTTTAAACATTCTTATGCAACTTGTGTTTTAAAGAAAACATTGACAAAAAATTTCATACTATAATTAATATTTTATTTCATATTTTTCATTTATATTACTAAGAGTATTATTTAAGATTTAGAATTTAGAATTTTAATCTATTAACATTATAGGAGATGTTTTATACAGGAATTTTTTTAAAAAGATGTCTTAATAATATTTATAAATATAAAAAAAAATTAAGTTTGTTTTTCAATTTCAACTTGAAAAGATAAGAAGTTATATGTAATAACCAAAACATTTAACTCATTTTCAAGAAAAATATATAAACTAAAACTAAATCTCACTTAGAATAAAGGAGAAGGAGTGTGTAGGAACAAAAGAAGAAATGGAAGGTATTACCTATTTATCATAAGCTGACTCAGATACGTAAAATTTAAATGAGGGAGTTGAAACTATTTTGACTCATAATCAACAAAAATTTTAATTTTTTTAATTAGATTCAATTCAAATCTCTAATAAGCTCCGTTAACTCATAATTATAACTTATTTTGACATGTTTACAAGACATTTATTGCAAAACTAATCATAATGTTTTAATCTTTATTTTTAAACATTCTTGTGCAACTAATTGCTGTGTTAAAGAAAAAATTGACAAAAAAATTTACACTTTAATTAATTTTTTTTTTCCAAAATTTTCATTTATATTACTAAGAGCATTCTTTAAGATATAAAATTTTAAATTTTATTATATTAACATTGGAGATGTTTTATATAGGAAATTTTCAACAAAGATGTCTTGATATTTTTAAATATTAAAAAAAAATAAGTTGGTTTTTCACTGCAGCTTGAAAATATATGAACTTCTATATAATAATCAAAACATTTAACTCATTTTAAAGAAAAATTACATACATTTTTAATCCCTACAAAATAAACATTATTTCATTTTTGTTGGCAAGAAATTGTTAATGTTAAAGATTATAATTAACTAATACTTTCAAGTTTTACAAACATGATAAATAAAGAAATGTATTTTTATACACTAATAACAAATTTCATCATATTGTATAATGATTAAAAGATGTTATTTAAAACTTTACAATACTTCTTATAGGTCCTTCCAAGATATACAAGAGACAACAAAAATTAGGGTTTTTAAGTGGGTTATTAGTCAATTCACCGTAACCTAACTCAAACTCGAATAATTTTTGATTGAGTGGGGAAAGACTAATAGAAGAGTGGAGCGCAAAGAAGTGTAAGATGAACACCCAAGAACACTGAAAGTTAGAGAAACAGTGAAGGATCAAGTTAGATGTAACAAGATCTGATGAAGAAAAAATAAAACAACCTAGATATGAGAAGAGGTGGTTGCAACTAAGAATTAAATACAAATATTGTTCTAGGTCCTTCCAAGATATGAAAGACACAACATAAATTAGGGTTTTCAGATGGGTTGTGGGTCAATTCACCTTAACCTGACTCAAACTCATATAACTTAAATCGAGTGAGCTGAAACCATTTTAATTCATAATCAACAAAAGATTCAATTTTTTAATCTGACTCAACTCAAATCTATAATGAGCTAAGTTAACTCGGAATTATACTCTATCTTGATATGCTTATAAAATATTTATTGCAAAACTAATCATAATGTTTTATTTTCTATTTTTAAACATTTTTGTGCAGCTTTTGTTTGAAAGAAAAAAATGAAAAAAAATTCATACTTTAATTAATATTTTATTTCATATTTTTCATTTATATTATTAAGAGTATTATTTAAGATTTAGAATTTAGAATTTTATTCTATTAACATTAGGAGATGTTTTATATAGGAAATTTTCAGAAAAGATGTCTTAATATTTATAAATATATAAAAAAAATTAAGTTTATTTTTCAATTTCTGTTTGAAAAGATAAGAAGTTATATGTAATAACCAAAACATTTAACTCAATTTCAAGAAAAATTGTATATTTTTTTAATCCTATAAAATAAACATCATTTAATTTTTGTTGGTAAGGAAAATGTGAACGTTAAAGATTATAATTAATTAATAATTTCAAGTTTTAAAAACATGATAAATAAAAAAATATATTTTTATACATTAAAAACAAATTTGTCTTATCTTTTTAAAAATTATTATTTCAAAGTTTACAAAACTTTTAAAAAAAATTATGGAAACAAAACTAAATCTCACTGAAACCAACCACTCTCTTTAACTATTTAGTATTTAAAATACGTGTTTTCTTCCACCATTTCAATCTATTCCTTAAGTAAGTAAGTTGAATCGACTTCGAATAATTTAAGACAATTAAATGTTTAACTTTGGATTCAATTACATTGATACCAATAATCTTTTTATCTGTATAATTGTGCATTTTGTTCACCAATATCCTGTGAGAAACCCTATAATTTAGATAAGAATAAAAAAATAGTTTTATTAATTAAAAAAAACATTAAATATGTCTTTAATCCTTGAAAAATAAACATGTGTTAGTTTTGGTTCTATGAAAAACATAATTGTTAATTTATAACTAATAAAAAATTTCAAGTTTAAGTAACAGGACATGAAGAAAAATAATTTTAAGAATTGATAACAGAATTTGTATATTTTATAATGACTAAAAACAGTTATTTAAAATTTTATAAAGTTAAAACAAAAGGTTTAATGAAGATGATCATTAAAACTCACCAAAAGAAAGTAACAACTTATTTACCTCTTTTATAGTTGAGGAAGAAAAATAACATGTTATCATACAACCTTTTATGTCGTGGAATAAAAAAAAAAAGCCTTTTTTTCTAGTGCTTTAATTCCAATATCCTCACAATTTTTTCATGCATCGATTTAAATTTTCAAAATAGTCATTTTATCTTTTGTAGAAAGTGACTTTCGAATTACATATTTTAACTTTTATAATGAGTTTCTCATTCTTTATGAGATTTTTTGGAATGAGACTTCCAAAATAATTTTTTAAAATCATGTGAAATATATTTTAGTATGATTTTTTTGGAACGAGATTTCCAAAACAAACTTTACAGAATATATATATATTTTTATAATTGTGGATAAACACCATACATAAAGTATGTTTTAAATCAATAACTCTTATAGTGTTAATTTTAAATTAAAGAAAAATAAATTATTTATCAATTTTGATATCCTTAAATAAGTGAAAGTTTATTGTATGTAATAATATTTTCAAGATCTGATATTGCTTACATGGGAAGTACATTGAATAGATATATTTAACGTTTTAATCAAAAACATTGAGATGTACTTGCAATACTTATGAGATATCTACGAAGTTTAATGTATTATGGCATTGAATATAGTTGAGTTCTTATTACTCTAAAAGGGTATAATGATGCTAATTGATTCTCTGATTCAAATGAGAGAAAATCCAACCCCATGTGTTTCAATACATTATGATTACCAATCAACAATTGTTATAACTAAAATCAATAACTATAATGGAAAGAAAAGACATATACAATTGAAATATAATTTGGTGAAACAAGTGCTAAAGAGTGAAACAATTTTCATTGATTATGTAAAATCAATGTTCATATGGGTAAAAACAAGTAACTTATTAGTCACAAATGATTTTAAATCAATTATGTTCATTCCTATGATGTGTGTGACAATGCTAGAGATTGCATTATTGAGAGGTTAAACTTTATAACTAAAATTATGTGGTTTAAGAATTTTAGTTTAAACAAAATTTTTAATGATTTCCATATCTCTCACGAGTGTGTATGATTTACAACAAATACTTGATGAAATCACCTGTATGTGTGTCGAGTAGGGTCACTTATATGAAATATTGACATGATATTTAGAGCACTCATAAATACCAAGCATGTGTGTGGTCATAAAGCGCAACATAGAGATAATAATAAAAGTTGTGGGGTTGTATTGTGATTGATAAACCGTCAACACACGTCAAGTTTCCTTGGTTCATATAGTTTGCTCTACTAACTATATTTTGTGTTAAGTTACTCAATCTAAAACCGGTTCATATAACTTGATATGCTAACTCTGGTGCATTACATCTTATATGAGACCTAAGATTTTTTTCTTTAATTTATTTTTCATATCTTATTCTTTGCAATATATGGGGGATTATTGTAAAACGAGAGTGTATTGCAAAGATAAGGATTTAAATTGGATCCTTGCATATCGAGATGTGCCACAACAATCGAAGTTCTTAAATCGCAAGTTTTTCCATCCTTTTCGAACATGGTGCAGGCTTGTTGCAACTGACTTGTTGAACATTAGGTTTGTTGTAGATTTTTCTTCTACAAGCCATTGTGGTGAACATTGGGTTGGTTGCAAAAGTTTACCTTTACAAGTGTGGGGATATTTCACTCATCATAAACTCCTCTTATACCTATAAATAAGTGTCCAATGCTTCATCCAAAAATACACTCAATTCACATCTCTTTTACTCTAATTCATTTGCTCTTTTTTTACTTTTATTTTATAAACTTGGGTTTAATAATACTCTTTAAGAGTTTCTTGCTAGATTCTCAATTCCTTAAAAACATTATGAGAAATTTATGTTGTATTTTGAAAAACTTACATAAGACACCACGTATAAGTCCTTAAGAACAATGATGATTTAAAGGAAACCCATCTAGTTTGTATTTTCGTCAAATTTTATAACAATGGTGGTGATAGTTGTGCCATAAGCAATGATGTGAAGGGTGTTTAAGATGATTCCTCTTATTATGGATGTGCATGTAGTAAATTGTAGGGGTGCGAGAAGCAATATGTGTTTTATGAGAATTTTCGTTGTTGGGCTTCCCTCGTGGAGGGGCATACATAGGTGGAAAGCTTGTATTTTGTGTTAATTTGCGAGTCATTAACCGTCCCTGGTCTCCATTTATTTGAAACTTATTTCAGTGAAATCTCAAGAATAACTTACAATTCTGTCATATCATCGACAACTTTCATTCTGCTTTAAACTTTCAAAAGTTGTTCAAACGAAGTCAGTTTCTAGCTTCACTGTTTTATTTTCGCCCACCTAGTTCCCGACAAACAGTTGCAAGTCATATGCTTTCACTGTTTTATTTGCAAAATATACAAAAGCAGCTAAAGGAAAAACTGATAAGCTTTATAAAAACACTGAATAAATTACATAGAACAACTTCTACTGAATGAAATAAACACCAGGTAACAGTTAAGTGGTTCACATTACCTACCAACTAATCAAGATTCTGAACAATCCCCAGAGCAACATCGCATATACGCTTCAAACCGTCCTCTCTACGAGCCAGCTCAGGAGGATAAACCAAACCTTGGTAACGTTTGAACATGTTGTGACAAACACTTGGGTAATCAGAAGCTGCAGCGATGTGCATGGAAGCATAGTCATATGCCTCATTAGCCAGATCCTGTGCAGAAGCTTGGAGGGCATCGTTGGCATAGGTGTACTTCTCTGCACACTCCTTCAGCACCCTTTTGGTGGAGTCGTTGGCAGTGCCAAGCAACCGAGTCTGAGAGGATAAATAGAGAGAAGTGGAAGTAGCATTGGCCATTCCAATCCCAACCATGATCACAGCCAAGCCCTTTGGGTCTGCGTTGGTGCTGCTTGGATCGGATTTCAAGGAGGAGAAGCATAGATCGAAGTAGTTGGTGTTCTTGCAAGTTTTCTTTATCAAAGTGCCATCTCCTTTCACCAATGCTTCTGGTTGAAGGTGTGCTAGCAAGAGGAGAAAAAAGAACCTCTTAGAAATCATTATGCTAGAAATAAGAACAACCCACCAAGGAATCATCATAGGTATATTTGTAAGTGGACAAAATGTAGATGCAAATTTTAATATGGTTTGCTACCTCATCTTAGAGTTCTACCATTATCAACAAAATGAATGAGGATAATTTAGAAAAATACCTAAATGAAATTTACTATTGGGAGAATATGTGTGAAAATAGTAAAGTTCATTTGATATTATTTTTTTCATACCACAAAGCAATATATTTTTTTATAAGTCGTCTTGGTTATACTTTTTCAAATAATACTCAATGAAAATATAAAAGTATTCTTTGTTTTGAAGTTTGTAACTTCTTTATGATTTTATTCTTAAATTATTTGTAATTTTTATTTTGAAGTTAGGTAAAACTATTGGATAGATAGATACCTTCTCTGTTTTCCATTACATGCCGTTCAATTTGTAATGATAATCGAGGCGATAAGGTCAAGAAAACAGAGTAATGTTCGGAAACGCGTTTCAAGAATTACCGAGTTGCCTAAATTTTCGGCTTCAAGTGGGACGACAACAAATTGTTGCAATATTCTATGTGGGAGTCGTGGCAAGAACAAACGATATTTGACACACATAAAACCTTTTATATTCATTTGATATCGTTCTTTTCTATTTTTTTTTAAGTTTAAAAGTTTACTCTTTGTACTATATCAGGTGATTGATTGGCTAAGGAGAATCCGAAATCAAAACAGGCAATCAACCGACTTTCAGATAAACATTAATTAGGAAAGGTCAATATCATTAATGGCCAACTAATACGTTTAATGGTCATATTAAATGCGAATATACGCTATTTATAAATGATTGACAGGTCATATTACATAAGAATATGATATTAATGGACAGTTAGCAGGTATTATTGGAATTATTGCCATATCAAATATGAATTAATGAGCTTAATTGTTGTACGTCCTATGAATATAGGGTTAATGCCCAGGTAAAGAGCTTGCTCTGTAATAATAAAAGATAGACCTCCTATGAATATAGGGTTAATGCCCAAGTAAAGAGTTGGCTCTGTAATAATAAAAGATAGACATCTTTATGAAACATATTTGACTTGAGCGTCTGAGTGTCTTTTGCAGGTCAACCACCCATCGGGGTGGATTACGTTTTCGGAGAGGATTAAAGATCAAAAGAGAGCAAAGCAAGGAAGAACGACCGACCCTCGGACAAATCTCACCGAAACATTTTGGCGCCAACCGTGGGGCCGAGCGACATCCCCATGAAATCACGAGGAACCAGACGTGTAGATGTGCGCTCGGCCTCGACATTGCTATTACCAGGTTTTGCAACAAGAGTACAAAATTCCATAATAATTTCTAAAGGCATTTCTTTTATTTTGAGAACTTTCAGGAATGTTCAGTTCTACTTTCAATGTTGACAGGTTCCATTTTTTATTATAATTTATAAATTATAATATATTTGTTTAACTCATATTTTTGTGAGTAAAAATATCCTGCACAGGAAGATTCGGTCCTACGCTCAACCTTATCAGGTTCCAGTAATTCATGCTCAGTCACTATGCTCAGTCACTATGCTCAGTCACTGGTTGCTAACTTTGTTAAATTTCGTATTCAACGATGCAGTCTCTCAGGAAGAATTTGAAGCTAAAGACCGAGCGGTAAATCCCACTTGGCGAAGAGGTAAATTCCTCTATAAAGATTGAAGACCGAGCGGTAAATCGCACTCGGTGAAGAGGTAAATTCCTCTATAAAGATTGAAGACCAAACGATAAATCCCACTCGGCGAAGAGGTAAATTCCTCTATAAAGATTGAAGACCGAGCGGTAAATCCCACTCGGCGAAGAGGTAAATTCCTCTATAAAGATTGAAGACCGAGCGGTAAATCCCACTCGGCAAAGAAGTAAATTCCTCTATAAAGATTGAAGACTGAGCGATAAATCCCACTCGGCAAAGAGGTAAATTCCTCTATAAAGATTGAAGACCGAGCGGTAAATCCCACTCGGCGAAGAGGTAAATTCCTCTATAAAGATTGAAGACCGAGCGGTAAATCCCACTCGGCAAAGAAGTAAATTCCTCTATAAAGATTGAAGACCGAGCGGTAAATCCCACTCGGCAAAGAAGTAAATTCCTCTATAAAGATTGAAGACTGAGCGATAAATCCCACTCGGCAAAGAGGTAAATTCCTCTATAAAGATTGAAGACCAAGCGGTAAATCCCACTCGGCGAAGAGGTAAATTCCTCTATAAAGATTGAAGACTGAGCGGTAAATCCCACTCGGCGAAGAGGTAAATTCCTCTATAAAGATTGAAGACCGAGCGATAAATCCCACTCGGCGAAGAGGTAAATTCCTCTATAAAGATTGAAGACCCGAGCGGTAAATTCCACTCGACGAAGAGGTAAATTCCTCTATAAAGATGTGAAGACCGAGCAGTAAATTCCACTCGGCGAAGAGGTAAATTCCTCTATAAAGATTCGAAGCCCGAGCGGTAAATCCCACTCGGCAAAGACGTAAATTCCTCTATAAAGATTGAAGACTGAGCGATAAATCCCACTCGGCAAAGAGGTAAATTCCTCTATAAAGATTGAAGACCAAGCGGTAAATCCCACTCGACGAAGAGGTAAATTCCTCTATAAAGATTGAAGATCGAGCGGTAAATCCCACTCGGCTGAGCGGTAAATTCCTCTCGTTGAGACCGTTCGACTCAAATAAGATATAACAACCTCCCTCAAAATCATAAGTCCTACAGTTCACCTTGGCTAAAGCCGCACGCTTAACTCGGACTTGGGGGGCTTAATATACTGTACCCGGTGATCGATCGGCTAAGGAGAATCCGAAGTCAAAAGAGGCAACCGACCGACTTTCAGACAAACATTAATCAGGAAAGGTCAATATCATTAATGGTCAATTAATACGTTTAATGGTCATATTAAATGCAAATATACGCTATTTATGAGTGATTGACATGTCATATTACAGAAGAATATGATATTAATGGATAGTTAGCAGGTATTGTTGGAATTATTGTCATATCAAATATGAATTAATGAGTTTAATTGTTGTACGTCAGGGTTAATGCCCAGGTAAAGAGTTGGCTCTCTAATAATAAAATATAGACCTCTTTATGAAATATATCTGACTTGAGCGTGAGAGTCTTTTGCAGGTCAACCACCCACCGGGATGGATTACGTTTTCGGGAATGATTGAATATCAAAAGAGAACAGAACAAAAAATGATGACCGACCCTCGGACAAATCTCACCGAAACACTCTTTTTTATTATTAATTTATATTTCTAACGCATGTTAAATGAATATAAAATATATTTCATTTTAATATACTTTTTCATTGTTTGGTCCATGTTTTTGTGATAAACTAGGAATATCTCGTAGCACACATTTTTTGTTGGTTAGTTATAAAGCAATGATATATCTTTGGGCGGGACTAGCGTAAATAGCACAATTTGAGAAAAAAAATGAGTTGTTTTATGGTTGTAATTACCGATTATGCAGACTTTCTTTCATAAGACGTCTTCTGGCATACATAAAGAGCCAAAAGTCAAGGCTAACAACCAAAAGATTATCTAAAATCTGAATCCCATTTCTATATGGTTTTGGAATGCTACTATTTATAACACTGCAATTCACCTAACAAAAAAAAATCATGAAAGTGTTTTATAATTTTTTAATTTTATATTTGAATATTTTTTAAAAGTATGATTTTAAACAACTTCAATATAATTAAACAAATTTAAAATTAATAATTTACTATTTATCACAAATAAATAAAAATATATTATAAAAATTATACATCAAAGTGTATTATAAAATAAAATTACATTTATAGTCATACATATATGATATTAATAAATTAGTAATAAAAATATTTAAACAGGCATGGGATATTGGAGATGGTGCAGGTGTTGGCAGAGCTTGATCTTGTCATTTCTAAATCATACATTTCTTCTGATGGTGGATGGTTAATGAATGGTTAGTATGCCTCCCTTACCACACACTCTGCACTTTGTGTTCTTTCTGTGAATAAGCATCACCAAATTCAAAATTAAACCATAAAGCACATATACAAGTGCAGAATGCATGACTCAATTCAGAATAGGTAAATTCCTTTGGATTAGGATGTATTTCAGGATCAAGGTGAACTGATCTCAACCACACAACTGCTTTCCAACCTTTTGGAATTAAGTACCCTGTATTACCCCATATACAGTTAATACTTTGTAACGTGATTCTCTCAACACTAATGTAGTGAACAAATATCATACTAGCCACTAGCCAAATATAATATACAAAACTAAGTTCAACAACGGAGAAGAGTATAGCTTTGTTTTTTCGCTTCTTTTATCATATATACGAAGCAAGAATATTCTGATACTGACAACAAAGAAATAGGCAGAACATGGACTAACCATTGATATTGACATCAGATTTTGCCTCCCGAAAAACCACTAGTGAGAATGTAATCACACGCATTTTTTCATCAATCACCTAAACAATGTGGCAAATGGAAACATGTATAAGCATAGCTGATACAGTACATATTGATATTAACTTCAGATCAATAGTTATACCTTTTAAAGAAAATCCATCTCCCGAACTTCCTTTAGTGTCAACCCTTTCTGTTATAGAAACATGTATAAGAATAGTTGACACAGCACTATTTCTTCTTGTTCTGCCTATTAGTCCCCAAAATCCCCACTCCTGATGTTACTATACATATATGATTCTCAGGAAATGTGGAAATAGCATTTAACGTTAAAAAAATCCAATCCAATCAATTCTAATCAAATATATCACATCAAAAATACAACTTCGGAAGAAAGCCTGTGAAAAGAAACCAAACCTTGATTCCATGGAACAGATAAATGTTTCTGGCATTAATGCTCATATACAATTTCTTCAAAGAACCCCTTTTGTTGCCCCATCTGATTTTGCAATTAAGCCACTGAGATGGAGAGTGAAAAATGCTTGCTTACTCAACACTTTACGTACACTTCTTTCACCTTCCACAAAGCCAACCACACAACAACCCAAATAAACTTGCTCAGCGCCCAAATTTTTGCAGCATTATAGAGCTTGATCCCCCTAGTTTCCATTCTCCTGAAACAAGCAGAATACTTAATATTAAGTTGGGAGACCAGAAGCAGAGCTAAGGTCACAGAAAAACAGAAATTAAAAAAGAGAAAACCTGTCTGAATGAGAAGCAACCATACATAATGACAAATAACCAAGAAACATAGTCACATTCTCCCACCAGATATCAAACAACAATGATTTGGTTCCATATAAGTTTAAAAAAAATAGATAAATCAAGGGGAGAATTACTCCATTGATACCAAAATGTGAAGGACTTTGCTCTAGTAATTGAATGAACCAAGACTAACAAAAGTCTATTTAATAGTCCAAGTTAACAGCAACTGTCTACGTGCTTATAAATTATCGTCAGATATAGGTCAACAGGAAAATCAAATACAATTTAAACTGAAAATGCAAGCATTAGCAAACCTAAACGCCAAATTACCAACTATTAACAAACAAACATACCACTATTTCAAATTTCAATCCGCAACAACAATCGACACCACAATACAATAATTTCAAAATGTCAGATACAATTTCCATACTCAAAACACAATCGTAACAGTAACATCTAGAACGTATACTGAATTCAGAACCCTGCTTCCGAACACCCATACGGCTCGTGGTCCTCATTGCTGTCGTTCAGTTCATGCTCGGAAGAACGTTTAGCAGGGAGGAAAGCTCAGTGGCGCCACGATTTCGTTCCAGGAACGGTGTAGAGATCAGTAGAAGAATGTACCGAATGAGCTATGGCACAAATCATGGTATGAAAAATATTATAACTTGAAGAAAATAACTAAATTAAAAATAATACATAAAAATTGTGACAGTTAAAAAAATTAACAGGAATGAAATATATTTTTAACAATTTTTTTGACCGTCACAAAATAATTGCTAATAAAACATACTTTTTTTTTGTAGTGCATGATCATAATCAATATAAAACAATATCTTTTATGTTAGTTATGGTAAAAGACAATAAAAAGAAAAGGTTTAATTGCTTGTTTTGTCCCAAGTTTGGCTGTAACGTGTCAAGTTAGTCCACAATTTTAAGAAAGTTTCAATTACGTCCAAACTTGGTTTAAAAGTGTCAATTTCGTCCAAACGTAGTAAAATTTGCTTCAATCAAGTCCCTTCCGTTAAATCCACATAAACGGACGTTAATTCTTTTTCTCTCTCCTCTGTTGCTATGCTCCTCTCCTCTGCTCCTCTGCACAACAGCAGACCCTCTCTTTCTTTTGAATATTTGCATACACTAAATGAATAGTTATAGTGATCACAATGACAAAGTGAAGCAACGGTTATAATTTTTGTTATAGGGATGAAAATAATGCATTTGCACTAAAAGTTGTCTATCATATTCTATATGGTAGTGTCTAATTTGGTCAATCAATATTTTAAGAAAATAAAAAGGTGTAAACAAATAATCATTTCAATGAAAAGTTTGAAAGAACGAAAAACTTTTAAATAATTTTCAATATCTTTTATTTTAATAAAATTACTATCTTTATGTTTTAATAAATATTTTTTCGTATTTTATTTATATAAAACATACGCTTATATTTTTAAAACTTTATTTTTTACCTTTTTATATTTTTATTCAATATTATATCTTTAAATAAAATAAGAGAAATGTGTTGTTTACTAAATATATCAGGTAGATTAATTTTATTTTTATTAAAATTATAGTTGAGACGAATGTGAATTCTAAATCTAGAGGACATATAAATGTCACACATAATATTAAAATCTTCTTTAACATCATTTTAAAGAAGGTAAATGATATTTCTGCAATTATAATTTTTAATTTAATTGGTCTATACATAACTCTCCAAACTATTTAAAACATGTTTCTATTATAATTTATAAATACAGTTTAACTAAAAAATTATTGTTTTATAATAATCAAGTTCAGTTTTAACTAGTAATTAAATAGTTTGTTAATAAAACTTTTCTTTTATGGAGTGGATCCTTCTCTTTTGACAGTAAATGGAGACTCTTCCATTCCAGAAATGTGAACCATTTGATTATCTTCCTATTTTAATTAACCTCTTTATATATAACAATTACATTATATGTATCTCTTAATATAAACTATTCATTTAAATTCAAATATTAAAATAAATTTTAGTGTATGCAAATATTCAAAAGAAAGAGAGGGTCTGCTGTTGTGCAGAGAAACAGAGCAGAGGAGAGAGAAAAAAATTAACGTCCGTTTCTGTAGAATTAACGGAAGGGACTTGATTGATGCAAATTTTACTACGTTTGAACGAAATTGACACTTTTAAACCAAGTTTGGACGTAATTGAAACTTTTTTAAAATGGTGGACTAACTTGACATGTTACAGCCAAACTGGGGACAAAACAAGCAATTAAACCAAAAGAAAAATATATTTTATGTCAATTATGCTAGAATTCATATAAATATATATAAAAGTTGAATAATATGAAAATGAATATGCGTGAGTATTCTAATAGTAAATAATGTAATATGTTTAAGAAATTTCATTTAGACAAACTTGTATATTATATTAAAAAAATAATTTTAAGTTTATTTTTTGGATAAACTAACATAAAAGTAAAATATTTTATTTTTTTAACTTTCCTTCTAAATATAATCTCAAATTACTTGAGCCAAATACACACAATCACGAGTAATAAACTAGTTGTACCAGAAAAAATGTCAAAGATTAATTGAAGTAAAATTATTTTAATAAAAAGAAATGCGTAACCAGTGTTGTCATCCTGGCTGCTCATGATTCATTGCATGTTGAATTCATGATATTGATTTCAATTCCTTTTCTAAATTATTGCTTAGGGAAGACAACATATATATTCTCTTTCAACTATATTTTTGACACTTCTTTTAACCACAGATAAGGTATTTGGGTAGTGTAATGACAGCCATTTTTAGTATGAGAATGTGACTCATGCCAAAAAAAAATCAACAACCTAAAGAGTTGGGAATTTTAAAATCAGTTTTATAACCAAAATAAAAAGATTCCACTATAGTTGAAGTTAAAATATCTTTAAATGCATTTTTTTTCACTTTCATCTAAAATTCCAAACACAAAAAAAAAAGGCAAGTCATAAAAACCTACTTTAATATATTAAATAATAAATTCTTAAAAAGTCCATACAATAAATGTTATGTGTTATGAATATGACATTATAAGTGAGTATAATTAATTAACCAACTACTTTCTATTTAGTGTGCATTCATTATTTTTTGCTGAGGTATGGACCTAATATGATATATATCTAGACGACGACGACAAACGGAAGAAGTGGAACTTCCGGAAAGATACGTATGTTTGTTTTTCTATTATGCATTAATACATATACGTTTTGAAATTGTTAAAAAAAAGTATGAGATTTAAGTCCGAAAAGCACTTAATCATTAAACAAATCTATATAATAGTGCCTACTTCAATTGCAGGTGGAAATCACAAAACAATAATTGTTCTTTGAAAAAAAAAAGATTATTTTGGATTTCTTGAATGGTCATCCAATAAAATTTGATCTGTAAATACTTCATCGTTTGAAGCAATGTTATGGCCTTAACGTGATTGACCAGTTTGTGTTTGGTACTGCTTGCACCTATTTAATACCTATTTAATACCTATCTGATAAAAAAATTAAAGAGAGAGGAGTCAAATTATTAATTAATTGAAAAAGTAGTTGCCGACTTGGTGGTTGTGACAAATAGCCATCAATTTTCAGATTTAATATCGATATATTCTAAAAGAGTATTTGCCCAGCCGCCGACGAATTTCGGGTGGTTATTGCATCGCTTTGATGAATTTGGAAGCTACAAGAGACAATTTAAGGGATTGGATGATTTTTCATTCCTCGAATATGAATTCGGATTTAAAAGTATTAAAGTGAAAAAATCGTGTTTGACCTTGAAGAAAAACAAAATGTCACGAACCATTGTAACTGATTTCACAAATTTGTGTAATTGATTTCATCATCTTGGAATCGATTCCCTTCGTTGTGCACATCTTTGATCCAAAACTACCATTGTCCTTTTAGCATCATTGTTGTACAGAAGTGGAATGATATCTATTTGCTCGTGTTCCTTAATGTCGGGGATGACTAAGTATCTAAATATATTTTCTTTAATTCTAATTTTGGCAAATGCAAATCTAATCAAAACTCTTATCAATTACAAAACTCTTGAAAAAAAAAATGTATTGTATTAATTATTTATTACTTTTTTAATTCTATTATTTCAAATGATTTTTTTTCAAAAACTACGTTACTAATAAGTATTATTTTATATTATTTTTACTATTAAAGGCAATTTGATAATCTTTGTTTTTATCTATTAAAACATTTTTTTAATATATTACTTCAGACAAATCTCTCACAAACTTTATTTTTAAATTCACCTTCAAATTCCTTTATAAAAACAACATACATTTTATTCTTAAATCCTTTCAAATTCATTCACTTATTCTCTTTCTTTCTCAAATCTTTTTACTCAACACACTCTTAAGTATTACCCATTGATTATATATCAACTTTTAACTTTGACAAAAAGATCAAACTAATCATATACAGAGTTCATATAATTGAGATTCTCTAAATAATATTTTTTTATTTGATATTATGGTAATATTTTAAAGGTTAAATATATTTTTATTTTCTAAATTTGAATATGAAACTAAAATTCATTTTTATTTTAAAATTTAATATATTTTAATTATCAATTTTAAAATATAATCATTTCAATATAATGATAATAATTTTTTTTTGTTAAACGATCTTATAAGTTGATATTTAAACTAAAATATGATAAATTAGGTAAACAACTCAAATATCAATTTAACGTTGTTTAACACATAAAAAAAATTAATGTTGGTTGTGTTAAAAGAATTATATTTATTTTTAATTTTTAAGTTTGGAGACCAAAATATATTAAAATTTAAAACACAAACAAATTTCAATTTCAATTTTACGTGTAAGTTTAAGAACTAAAAACATATTTAATTCTTATTTCAAATTCCTATAACACTTTAAAAAATCAAAATTGTCCATGATTACAATTCATCATAAAATTTTGTTTGTAAATTAAAATTAATGAGAATTTATTAAAACTAAAATCCTATCAATAAATATTTATCATAAGTTTTATTGACGGATCAAAATATTAATCAATAATTATCTGTCGATAGATATTCAACCATGATTACTGATAAATTTTGGTTATTAGTAAAATTCATCAGTAAATATCGTAATTTGATTCTTCTTCCGGTCCATCTCCTTCTTATTTTTCCTTTTTTTTCTTCATTTATCTCTAGTTCACTCTTTCTTTTCCATCTCCATTGTTTTTGTTATCATATATTTCTCTTCTTCATACTCCTTCTTTTTATCCTCTCCTATTGTAACATCCCAAAAATACAGTCTAAAACTATATGATAGAATAATTACATTGAATAATATTACAGATCAATCTTACATTAAAAGAGAAGTACGTTTATGACCGAACGGCCTTACAGAAAGAACTAAAACTAAAATTGTACAATGTAAGTAATTCCGACCGAACGGTTTACAAAATTATCACTGGACGGTCATACAAAATCAAAGGAAAAGGTGATCGAACGATCACCTTACTGTTAACCTAAACTACTGACCGAACGGTTCTACGGTTCGGTCTTAATTTCTACTTCTACTAAGTTATCTTCTTCTAGCGCCTCTTCCAGCAGTTCGTCTTCTTCTGCTCACATCCACATGGATGATTATCGCAACAGAAGAACAACCGAACGTACAAAACAGACAAGACAAAAAGACATTTATTGGTAAATTTTAAAAAATTCAACTTCCAACCGATTTATTAAAGATTTAGCCACAAAAAATATCAAAAGGAAAAAAATTTAACGCTCATTTGAGTAATGAAATTTATACAAAATAAAAAAATTTCAATATTAAAATTTCAATACCTCAATATTCTAATTTTGAAGATAGTAAGTTACTTTTCATTTTTTCTTCATAAATTGTCGGAGAATAAACCTCTCAAGAGTCGTCTTCCTATCTTAAATAATATTGAAATGTCTTCAAAAGGATAAGATGCCATTAACATTTATTATAAAAAATATAAAAAAAAGTAAGGTAAACGTGGAATATTTAGAATTACGAAAAAAATATAATAATACTAGTAATTGCTGTTAGAAGGCACGAGTGGCCTTAGACCGTGTCATTTATGATTAATCATGCATGTCAATAAATTTGATCCTGACCCACATACATACTCATATATACATCATACTTATTATATGTACCTCTTTTGTTACTGCAGAATCAGAACAAGTGATGCATGTTGAAAGTGGTTGTGAAGAACAGTGAAAGGGAAATGCATCTGGAGATGATCCAAGCTGCATCTCTTCTTGCATATCATTGCATACGTAAACCGCGTCACGTTGTTAAATCAGAGAAACGCAAAGATACTCAGGTAAGTGTTTCAACCAAAGAAGAAACAAGGTTTCATCATGAATGTTGCAAGCACTCAGAGTCCGAATCGGAATCGTCCTTTGAGAAGGTGGTGGAGATGGGAGTGCCGTGTAACGAATGCGTTCAAGAAAAACTGCGATGGTTAAGGTCTCAGATAATCGGTAACGGTGCAGAGTTCGATTCTCCGTTTGGAAGACGAATCCTTGTGTATGCTGATCACACCGCTTCCGCTCGCAGTCTTCGCTACAATGAAAACTTCATCGCCGATCATCTTCTTCCTTTCTACGGTACCTGCCTTCACTTTCTTCATCTCTCCTCACATCATCTTTACTTTATCTATCAATCTTTTCCATATCAAATCTCAACTCCCTCACGCTTTTGTTTCTTCTCAGTCCAATTTTCATTTCAAAATTATTTTAGTATTTTTTATAACTCATTCGAGGGATTAAGATGTTTTTTAAACTTGAAAATTAACTATTATAAAATATGATTCTTCTTAACTTTTAGGAATAAAAAATAATTATGTCTAATTTTTTCTGGAAGTACAATACAACTTGCAAAAAGAGAGAAACATATAATGGGTAGATAATTTTTTTTTCATAATTTTGTTTACAAATTAAAGTATATATAATTTTTATAACTTCTTGCGATGGAGTGCATAAATTAATTTTAATTCTAAAAACATTTTGTTTTTTCTTCTGAAAAAACTAATATAACTTAAGTTTCTTAAAAAAAACATTTGATCTAATAAACTCAACTTAAAAATTGAACGGTTCATTAGATACATAGTCGGTGAAATTGTTACATAGTTTTAGTTACAATTGGATTGTTTTTATATTAAGCTAAATGTTCATTTTAAAAAGCAAAAAAAAAAAAGTGTGGGGTTCAACGTATTCATTATAAGTTTTTCCAAATTACAAATATATATGCAGCTATAAATATTAATATACATAATATCTTAACATATAAGTATGACCGCGAAATACTATGATATAGTTGTAAAACTAATAGTTTTTATATAACTTGTATAAATGAAAAGGGAGGATAAGAAAAGAATCATAGTTAAAATTGATGAAATTATTTAATATGCATAAGTTGAAGATCAAATCATTGTATCATCACATGATTGAATAAGTTTTGTGCAGTAATAATATTCAATTAATAGCGGTCTCACTTGAAATTTATAAATAAAATAGTCTCACGTTGAAACTTTTAACGAGGGAGGATGTACTCTCACAATATATATCATATATGTATCCTTTTGGGGTATATATATGTTTTACAGAATAGTTATATAATTAGCGGATTTTAAATTCACAACCAGAAGGGAAACGTACATATATAAAATTTAATACGAACTCACCTTTTTTAAAAAAAAAAAAGTAAGAGATATAAAATATTTACATGACACAGTCCTATACTTATCATAAGAAAAATAGTCTGTGTAGTTTATGAATATGTTTTTTTTTTTTTCATTAATTGTCCCTTGAAAAATCAGGTGGATTATGTTTGTCAAACTAGTGTGAACATACAATCATGATTGGACTAGGAGGAAAGGGGTTTAGTTTCTTTCTTGTTTGACTAGCACATACGCCAAATCTGAAACAAAATTGGTTCTTCTCTTCTTAGCCAATCATAGATGAATTTTCAACTATAAGAACATGTATTCAAACTCGTGCTATTTATTTTCTGCATACACAGCCAACACTCACACGTCCGACAGTTACGTGGGAAGCAGGACAACAAAGATGGTGCACGAAGCAAGAGAGTACATTAAAAAATGCTTAGGTGGTCGGAAAGACGATGCACTCATCTTGTGTGGCTCTGGCTCAACTGCAGCCATCAAGAGGCTGCAAGAAGTGATGGGAATTGCAGTACCCTCTATCTTGAGGGAAAGGGTTTTGAAGAGCCTTAGCACAGAAGAAAGATGGGTGGTTTTTGTTGGACCTCATGAACACCATTCCAACCTCCTTTCTTGGAGGCAAAGTTTGGCTGAGGTGGTAGAAATTGGTCTTGATCACCAGGGCTTGATAAACATGGATGCTCTAAAGCTAAAACTTGAGGCCTACAAAGACACCAATCGACCCATGTTGGGATCTTTCTCAGCCTGTAGCAATGTCACGGGAATCTACTCAGATACACGAGCAATTGCTCAGCTTCTTCATCAATACAAAGCCTTTGCATCCTTTGATTTTGCAGCGAGGTATTTTTTACTTAGCTAGAATCGTAGACATCCTTTGATGGTGTTTCAATGTTTTTAAGAAATTTGATGAAAATTTGTTTTATGTATGTGTTTGTGTAGTGGTCCATACGTGGAGATAAAGATGAGGTGTGGGGAGAGTGATGGGTACGACGCAGTGTTCCTGAGTCCACACAAGTTTCTTGGTGGTCCTGACTCTCCTGGGATTCTGCTTATGAACGATGCTCTCTACCGATTAAGATCTTCGCCGCCATCAACTTGTGGAGGTGGAACTGTGGATTACGTCAACGGCTTCAACAAAAAGGTAATATCACATATTCAAATTGCAGACTTATTTATGTCAAACTATAAACAAAATATTTAAAGTCAAATACGTAACCTGATTGGAGAAGAAAAAGAAGTCTTCGGACGTTGTTTATCATTTCATTTCCTGTATCACAAAAATTTATGTTCTGTCCTTGTAAAAACGTGTTTATAAATCAATCCCTGCTGTCATTTTCTACAGATAGGATTTTTTATTCATTCGTATGAATTGAAATGGAAAGAGAAATGTCAGCAATGGATAAGGTTCTTGTGCTTTCAAACTTTATGTGGGTGTTGATAATATTGCAGGATACACTGTACTTGGAGAACATAGAGGAAAGAGAAAATGGGGGCACCCCTCCTATAATCCAGACAGTGAGAGCAGCATTGGCATTTTGGGTGAAAGAGTACATAACCTACAAAGAGATTGAGAAACGTGAACGAGTTTACATTAAGAAAGCACTTAAGAGACTAATGTCCAACCCAAACATTGAGGTTCTTGGAAACTTGAGAACCAAAAGACAAGCCATATTGTCATTTATCATTTATTCTACCGCGAACAAAAGCTCTTTATCACCTGGTTGGGGCATTAAATGGCTAGAAGACAGCCAGAAACAGGAAAAACAAAGAGAACTTAACTTTTGGAAAGAGACAGAGAGCGAAAGAGGTAAGCTACTTCATGGCCCTTTTGTTGCAACACTGCTAAGTGACCTATTTGGCATCCAAGCCCGTGGAGGGTGTGCTTGTGCTGGACCTTATGGCCACCAATTGCTCAATATCAACAAAGCTCAATCTCTTGCCATTAGATCAGCAATTCAAGAGGTACATTCTCTCAATGTATTCTACATCAGTGTAATAAATAAGGATAAGAAATATATATAAATTATGAAATTCAATCCAGCCCAAATTTAAATAGATTTATCCGAATCCAAATATATAGTTTTGGATTTTAAGTCCAATCTGGTTAATTCATTTGGATAGGATTAAAATTGAATTATTTTTTAGATTTTGAAAATTCAAAATCAAGATTTATCTAACTTGAAATAAGACAATTAAGGATTATGTTAAATTAGATTGATGAACAAGTCGAGTCAAATCAACTTAAGTCTAGAGTTTAGCAGAATTTGTCTAAATTGAAGGTTGAGTTAAATGAGCTAAGAAAAAGGTTGAATCCAATCCACCTAGGTAGAATTGAATAGACTTAAGTTGAAAGTCGAGCTAAACCAACCTAAGTCGACTCAAACGAAAAAATTGAACCGAGTCAATTTGAAAGAAATAATCAAGCAGAGTCATTCAAAATTGAAAATAAAAATTAGACCAAACTAAATATCAAAATCGATTTAAATAATTAAACCGAATTAACTAAACACAAAAGAACGAAGCAAGTGAAAATATTTTGAAAAAAATAGTCAAATAATTATATACAAAGTTCAATAATATCACATAAAAAGTCATTCTATATATGGTAAATATATATTAAAAAATTATAATCTAAGTCACCTGTTATCATAAGCTGGTTATATAACATCTGCTAAAATGTATGTTACATCTTTAGCAAATAGTGATATATACTATTTAAAAAAAAAAAAAAACTTGTTAGAACCAAATTTAGCGAAAATGGCTAAACAATGTTTAAACTGAAATTGCTTGTTGAACAGGGTTATGTTGGAGTAAAACCTGGGTGGAGCAGAGTCAGTTTTCCGTATTACATGGAGGAGGAGGAATTTGAGTTCATTTTAACTGCGATAGAGTTTGTAGCAAACTATGGCCAACGATTCCTTCCCTTGTATAGCTTCAATTTGAGAAATGGCAGTTGGAGAATGAAGAAAGAGCAACTTCAGGCTGTGATAAACCAAAACAACTGCAACTTTCGGAAAACTCTTGAGGAAGCAAATGATTTGAAACCACTAAAAACAGGGAATAACGTTGGAACCAAACAAGTTAGGGTGTTGAGGAAATCATACTTAGATACAGCAAAATATATTGCAAGTCTTCTCCCCAAGTTCCCTTCTGAGGCCATACTCCATGAAGATGTAGATCCCGATGTTCTGTATTTTAGAGTTTAATTATTTGCTAAATATCAATTAGCATTCATTAATATATATTTCACTGCTTGCTTTAATAACGAGAACATTAAGCAACACAAATCAATAGAACTTTGGAACAACATAATTTTAACACAATTTTGTTTCAAAATAAATATAACTTTTTATATTTAATTTTATCGTTGCAAGGAACTAAAAATAATTAGAAATAGTAGTAGTTTTTAAAATATGACACTCAATTTAAAAAAGTCAGACTATAAAAAGTTATATTTATAACTTCATATTTTACCTATTTGAAGATTGGAGTATGTCATAATATTCTTGAAGTCAAGATCTATAATTCTACTCGATCAAAATATTAAACAGAGTAAATTCATATCTTGTTCTTATTTTGGATTTTGTTAGTAAATATATATTGCATGTGGGAGTGTAGAGGTTTGCATGTGATATTAAAGGACTCAAAATGAATATTAGTTCAATTAAGATTTTAAAGTGTTTTGATAATTGATCTGAGTTCTTTGTGTACAAGTACAACAACATATATAAAGTAGTAGAATCTGTGTGGGGACACCTTTTGAATTTATGAGAATCTATCTAGGTAAGGAAAGTTAGTTTATTTATAATGATTGAATTGTTTAAATTGATGAATTGAGTATGGTAATGGAATTCAGTTGTTGTGTTATGGTAATGAATTGAGTATGGTTGATTTGATTGGATTGGATTGGAAACATTGTTTGTGGAATTGATTTGACATGACTAGAATAATCCGATTTGCTTTATCAAATGGTTATTTTGAACTAAACAAAGTTATTTGAACTAAGAAATAGCTAGAATTGCCTAGATAGACAAGTTGGATAACCTGTTTTAGTCAAATCAGAAGCTAAAAATATTGATACAATGTCGAACATTACCATAAAGTCAATGGGTGCCAAGTGGAGACTTTAGTCAGTGAACTCATGAGGTACAAGGCGTTGGACAATACCTTGAGACCATTTGACAGTGAGATCTAGAGGCCAAGGCGTTAAGGGTACCATGGTCGCATTGGGTGCTCACTTAATAGTGAACACTGGGATTTTGGCATTGAACACCTTGGTTTTGTTTTTAGATTATCTTGGTAAAATTTTGATTCTTACTTTGTTAACCGTTGGATCAGCCTAAAATTTTGACATATAGGTTTTGAAATTATGGTTCTTCACTTTGACGATTGGGATTGTCAATTAGAGATCTTTTATTATAGAAATATGTTTCAAGGTTTTGATATACTTATTGGAAATATTGTAATATTGAATATTATGCTAATACAATAAAAAATAAATGATGAATTATTATCATTTCAATTGAGATAAATAATGTGAGTAATATTGTGTGATGAGTTTAGATTGAGGTAAAATGCATAGGGATGACATGTGTCATGATTTAAGAATTATATGATAATGTAATGTGTGAGCTATGTGCAAATGTTGTATATACTTTGAAGTAATTGTATTTTTGCTTTGGTTTTATATGAATGATATGGAATAAGAGGGCAATGGTTCCTAGGATGGGAATACTACTATATATGTTTATATGTGGAGTGTATTGACATCAAAATTGAAATGAGTTTATCCTGACTCTACTATTATTGGACTCAAATAAAGAAAGATATTTAAGTGTGCGGTGTGAAAAAAGATCGTTTCTAACAGATATAAAAAATTTATCATGTCATACAACCTGTTAGAGGACGTGGTTCTGTCATGATATAGCTACAACCTTTGAGGGGCAAGGAAGGGCAAGGAAGAGTATGATAGGTGGTTGGTCTCAGATTCTACTTAACACTAGTCCTCCCGGAGGTTGTTGATATTTGTGTATGGAAAAGCCATAAGAGCTTTTGTATATGTTATATTATTTATACTTAATGATCGAATATGATGTATGAAATGTTGAAAGAATGAATGATTCATATGGATGTTTAAATTTGGTAAGTATCATGTTTTAAATTTACATTAGTTTACATTAACTTTTTGTGTTTGTTTATGGTTTATTTTGTGTAATATACATTAGTAAAAGATAATACAAATAGATAAATTGAAATAACGAAATTCTTGATAATTGGATAAAGTATAATTGTTACATAAAAATACAATTTGTGTAGTATTGTTTAATTTTTTATATATTTAAAGATATTTATCATTAACTTTATAGAGGATTATAAACATGTTTATATAATTATTTATTATTTAATATTTAATTTGTAATAATTCAGTTATTAATGTAAAACTACTAAATTGAAATGTTATAATCATATATACTATTTCCTTATCAATATTATTTATTTTATAAAAAATAGGAAAAAAAGAGATTGACTATAATGAAAATTAGGGATTAGAATTTGAAGAAAAAATAAATCACAGATTATACATTTTTTTTTCATAATTAGTTAAGATAATAATAATTTCATTTTGGCATAATTTCTTCCTGTCCAAGGTAAATTTTTCAATATATTTCTTATTATTTTTACTCTTTCAAACAATTTAGCGGGTGTGTTTGTTTCAAACAGGAAATTTGAGAGAAACAAAAATGATAGAAATAAGAGAAAGGAAAAGTAAAAAAAGTAAGATTATTTGAATGAAAGGGAAGTGAATGGAAAGCTACGAAGAATTTTATAAAAAGTTTGTAAATGATTCGGTTAACATAACGAATTTTAAAAAATTATGAAATGATATATATTTAATAGATTGAAAAAATTATCTGTATTGATATAAATTAATTTTAATTAAATATTAAATTATAGTTTTATTATTATTCTTATTTCATAAATTTATTTTGATTATCATTTTTAGTTTTATTGTTATTATTATTTTAATATTTTATGAATCTATTATTATTATTTTTTCTTTTTATTATTATTATTTTATGAATTATTGTTATTATTATTTTATTATGTAATATAATGAAACTACATAAATGTATTTAGAGTACCCAATACTCCACACGTAAGGGTATTAAGAAATGCACTAGGATCATAAAATGCATAATGCATGTAATACCATATAAGGTTACAGTTTTATTGGACTAGTATGATAGTTCACATATAAGCGGCATGTTGTATTGAAAAAAATAAAAAACAATTAATTGAATCAAATTTACTAATTACTTTTATAAATAGATAATGATTAATTGTTAAGTCTTTTAGTAAACATACAAGCTAAAAGTCAAGGATAGCAAACAATCCATCCAGTCATTAAAAAATAAAAATAAAAAATTGAATTGATCAAATTAATCTATTAATTTACTTTTTTATATATATAAACATTTAATGATTTATTAATTATTTTTGAATTTTATCAAATAAACATATAAGCTAAAGTTGAAGGAGAGCAAAACAACTCATCTAATAATTAAAAAAACGAATCAGATCGAATCTATTAATTTACTTTTATAGATATTAATTTTTTAATTCAATGGTTTAACTAATATTTATTGGATTAAAATTACTTTAATATTTTTTTCCCAATTAAATATTAAAACTTTCAAAATCGTTTTAAAAGAATAAAAGAACCATTACCAAAATATACTATCTCGAGTCTTGTATATATTAAGCAAACAAAAATATCGTTTTTTCCTAACATAAGAAATACATATATAACCACTCTTGAATGCAATTACCAATTTTTCATTAGAGTTGATGTATTTATTGACTCACTAATACAACGGCTCATTAAACATAAATGCGATTCAAACCATTTAATTTTACATGTATCTCTGAAAAGAATTTCCAAATGATATTATTATTATTTAAAACTAATCAATTTATCTACTTTTATTTGTATTTATAACTAGATACATATTAATTTGCCACATATTGTATTATTTTCATGAATTAATTGGATACCCATCATTAAAAAAAATAGTTAATGCATTTAAATTAAAGAATGAACATTTTTTAAAAACATGAATGATTTCTATTTGATTTATCATAACCCAAATTAAAATTTATCCAATCCATATTTTAAAATATTCTAGAAAGTCAAATAATCTTTTTTACCTCTAAGACAAGGATAACGTATCATTACGGTTACTTGGTTGAAAGAAAAGGCAATAAATATAGCGTTACCATGCACTGATAGCCAACAGAAACAACAAAAACGAACATGCTATTATTATAATTCTTAAAGTTCAAATACTATGTTTCGCACCTGAATTTCATGCATCCACAATAAAAATGAACACCACCAGGTTTGTGCAGCCCATAATATAATCCCACTGAAACTCTAACTTTTACCAAAATATAAGTCCAAAACTCTTTTGCCTTCTCTCAAAGCCTTCTACGCTGTCACCTTTTCTTATATGCTGAGTTACATCAACAACATCATTCGCTGTTATTTTCAGTTCTTCTACCTAATGCGGGAGGAGCACCCCTTATTAGCAGAGAAACCTGTGTTAGTCCAACCATGCTTGGATCAAAGCCATGGCCAGGACAAAACCAACACCGAGGTTGGAGTGTTATCCAAAACAACCACATCGGAAAAATCTCATGACTTTTGCAACCACTCTGAGTCCTTCCAGACGCTTGTGGAGATGGGCCTGCCGTGTAATGAATCAGTGGTGGAAAAACTGCGTTGGTTGCGGTCCCAAATCATTGGTTGCCATGCAGAGTTTGATTCCCCATTTGGAAAAAGAAAAGTTCTCTATGCTGACCACACTGCTTCGGGTCGCAGCCTTCACTATAATGAAAATTTCATCATCAATCACGTTCTCCCGTTCTATGGTATGATATTCACATCAAGCCACCCTCATTCATATATATATATATATATACACACACACACATAAACTCTGATTGTTATAAGAGTAAGTAAATAGTATATGTACTAACATTGTTTTTCCTATCATAAATTATCGGTATATGTTTGTTACCTTTAACAATAACTACTTTAAATGTCATTCATGTCATGACTTCTGACTGATTTACACAGAAACTATGCTGTTGTTTTATCCCTTGGCTCCACAATGACTAGTTTAAGATTATTGTACACGGATCAAGAATGACAATAAATATACTCTGTTTTTAGAAATAATTCTAGTGAAATAACTTCACTTTTACAATAAATGATGATTAGAACATCGATCAATTTGTTAAAACTGAACTGTAATCATTGTGGCGGCAGAGGGAGTGTGTTGGTAGTTGGGTTTTGTATGCATGTAGAAGGTACGTAGCTCAGCTTAATCTTCCCAGATTAGAAAAGCGAGTTGTAGAAGACACTGGAATTTTGAATGTGGAAACATTTCTTTTAATCAGTTATCTTTTGTGGACATAGGTAACACGCACACATGCGACAGTTACGTTGGAAGCAGGACAACAAAAATGGTACACGAAGCAAATGAGTACATTAAGAAATGTTTAGGTGGTGGGGAAGATGATGCACTTATATTATGTGGTTCGGGCACAACTGCAGCTATCAAGAGGCTGCAAGAAGTGATGGGGATCACTGTGCCATCTGTTATGAGGGAAAGGGTTTTGAAGAGTCTGAACACAGAAGAAAGATGGGTGGTTTTTGTCGGACCGCATGAGCACCATTCAAACCTTCTTTCTTGGAGGCAAAGTTTGGCTGAGGTGGTAGAGATTGATCTTGATGACGAAGGATTGCTTGACATGGATGCTCTAAGGATACAAATTGAGGCCTACAAAGATACCAACCGGCCCATGTTGGGATCTTTTTCAGCTTGTAGCAATGTCACGGGAATCTACCTAGATACACGTGCAGTTGCTGAGCTTCTTCATCAGTACAAAGCCTTTGCATGCTTTGATTTTGCAGCAAGGTACTTATATTTATAGAATTGTGAAAATGGAGAATTATTACATAGTTTGAAACCACCACATGTTTATAGTACTGTACAGTTTTCATGTGACACATTTAGTCAAGTTTTATTAAACCTTTTCTTTTTTATATAGATTTTAAAACTCAACTAAATGAGAGAATCGAACACTTAGTAAAATCATCCAATGATTTCTGGTTGTACATGAGTTTGTGTGTTGCAAACTTGGAAACTCGATAATGGTTTTACTTGTTTGTTTAGTGGTCCATACGTGGAGATTGACATGAGGTCTGGGGAAAGTGATGGGTATGATGCAGTGTTCCTAAGTCCACACAAGTTTCTAGGTGGTCCTGACTCTCCTGGGGTTCTCCTCATGAACAAGGCCCTTTATCTGCTAGGATCTTCACCACCGTCAACTTGTGGAGGTGGAACTGTGACTTATGTCAATGGCTTCAACGAACAGGTAATTCTGTTGGGAATTTGGAAATGCATTTGTCCACTGTTTGCATGAAGGAACATACAGAGAAAAGTTGGTGCAACTAAAACCATCAAAGGGTTTCTGTTGTAGCTGCTAGATGTGAATCAGTGAAAACAAATACAGAGAAAATTTGGCTAACAAAACTTACATGCAGTCTTTATTTGTTTGTGTTATTCTCCCATTGTATTGCAACAATAATTGCTATAATAAGAGATTGCATTGAAGGTCTGATAGAAGAATAACACCAAATACCACAGAGAACTAATAACATATACTTCAAAATATGTACTCATTGATCCATTTCAATATTCATTTTGCTAAACAATTTAACACTGTCTTTCCCTTCACCTTGTGTTCATTCAAACTTCATCGATCATCATCATCCACTGCACGTTATCAATGCAGGAAACATTATACCTGGAGAACATAGAGGAAAGGGAAAGTGGGGGCACGCCTCCAATAATCCAGACAGTGAGAGCAGCATTGGCATTTTGGGTGAAAGAATACATAAGCTGTGAAGAGATTGAAAAAAGTGAACAAATGTACATCAACAAGGCACTAAAGAGGCTTGGCTCAAACCCCAACATTGAGGTTCTAGGAAACTTGAAGGCCAAGAGACAAGCTATATTGTCGTTTCTGATTTACTCCACCATCAATTGTTCCTCAGCAGGTGAATGGAGTGATGAAGGGGAACTTGATCTGTGGGCAGAAACAGGGAACCAAAGAGGGAAACCACTTCATGGCCCTTTCGTTGCAGCATTGCTGAATGACCTCTTTGGAATCCAAGCTCGTGGAGGGTGTGCTTGTGCTGGACCTTATGGCCACGAATTGCTCCACATCAACAGGTCACAGTCACTTGCCATTAGATCAGCAGTTGAAAAGGTGAAAAATGATCCACAATATGCTTTAAATATTATGTTTCCAACTATACAATATTGGTACTAAAACTCATTCTGAAAATCAACGATATCAAGCACATTTAGCTGTTCTAAAAATTGAAGTGCCAAAGCAAGTTCTGAAATGCAAAATTGTTTGTTACTTTGGCAGGGTTACATTGGAGTAAAACCAGGGTGGAGTAGAGTTAGTTTTCCCTACTACATGAGTGAAGAGGATTTTGAATACATTCTGAAAGCCATAGAATTTTTAGCTGTGTATGGCCAACGGTTCTTTCCCCTTTATAGCTTTAATTTGATAAATGGGAGCTGGAGATTGAAGACAGAGAAAATTGAGGCACTAACCATTGAAGGAAACTGCAACTTTGGTGGGGTGATGAGAAGGAACGAATCAAACTTTGAGGTAGCTAAATGCATTGCTACTCGCCTTCCAAAATTCCCATCTCCGGGAATAATCAAGGAGGAACTCCATCAAGATATCTTCTGCTTCAAAGTTTAATTTTTTACTGTAAGAAAAATTATATATGGATAACCTAAATACTAAATAACACCTAGTAAAACAAAAACGACAGATATATCTATGTAATGCAAGGGAGAGAGACAGAAATTTCATAGGTGTTGTTAAATGTTTAAAAATAATAGTTATCCATGTCATTGTTTGAAGTTAATACATACCAAACATTATTTTTTCTATTTACAAATATTTCATCATACTTTCCATTGTTTTTACACAATGATTAAGATTTCCAACCAACTCCTGTGGGTTACTAGAAAGAATTATTAAGTTATTATGAGATTTTGAACAATGCTCTTTTATTTTTATAATCAATTTGTTATATTGTACTTAATTAAATATTATTAAGTCTTAAGTAAAATTTAAAAATCTTATGAATTTGAGATTTTACATTAAATCTTTATTAAAAAAATTCAATCTATTAAATGCTATTTTTTTTATTTGTCTTCGTATTTTACCGTTTAAATTTGTGAGAATAGTGTGATTTTTATTTTTTCTGTTTCCAACTTATCCCGCTCTTAAGTAGAGGAACTCTTGGAAATGAAGAAAGCGTGTTAATTGATAAGATAAATAAGATGATGAAAGAGGAAATGAACAAACTAATTATGAGAGAAAACGTAAAATAAACTGTCACGTCATCTCATTAACAACACAAATTAGACAGAATATTTAAATGAAAAAAAGACTTTTTCAACAATTAAAACACAGATTATTTAAATGAAAATTTAATAAAATATTTATATTTATTCATTATTTAAAGTTTAACAAAATCCATTATTCATAATATTCTTTTAATTGTGAACTTATATTTAAGAAAAAACGTGTGTTCCAAAAAAGAAATCTTTAAGTTTCAAAAGCAGAGATCAATAACTCAATAAGTCAATACTTGAAACAAATTATGTCATTAAATAGATTATTATATGCTCCCTAACATTATTTTTTTTAATGTAAAAATATTCTTGTAATATATTATTTATTATTAGTCAAACTCTATTGTAAATCATCAAATTTAATATGTTCTACTATTAAAAATATTTATTTATTATTCACAATTTCAATAATTTAGGTCATGGAAATAACATTTTACTTAACGACACTAAAAATTAGACAATTAACTACAAAATATAATTATTTTTTAATTCTAGCTATGCTTAGATATTTATTTCAACATACGTATATTTTTTATAATAACTAAATAATTTAATTTTTAGTTTTTACTATTAAATATACTATTTGTGGACTTTTACTTCTGTGTCTTGGTGGGACAGCGATTAAGAAATTAGAAGTATAACATTGAGTCTTTTCTTTTCAAGAGATTATTTTTTTCTCAACAAGCTTCCAGCTGTTTTGCTTTATTATTATTTTATTGCTTTACTATTCTTTTTATTTGAGATATCATTGGACACTTTCTATTAATTTTTTAACTTATTAGTTTCATAACTTAGTTATATGATATTTGATATTTTTATAATTATTTGATTCTATTGAATTATTATTTAATGTTTTAATTATATATATATATATATATATATATATATATATATATATATATATATATATATAGTAGACTTTGTAAATAAGTATATCAACAAAGTATTGTTAGACTTCTTTAATTAGTATATAGGCATACCCATTTAATGTGTATTGTTAGATTTGTCTTATTAATATATAAACAAGCTCATCTAATATGTATTGCAAGACTCGTCTGATCGAGTAATGGATAAAGACGTCTAATGTGTATTAATAAATTCATCTAATATGTGTATGAACAAACTCATATGATGTACATTGTTAGACTCGTATAATCAATATAAGAACAAAATTATATAATGTGAGTTGCAAGACTCGTCTCATTAGTGTATGAACATGCTTATGTAATGTGCATTTATTGACTCATATAACTAATGAAGTTATTTGTCTAATGATTTTTGATATATTTCTTTAATAAGTGTATGGACGGACTCATTTAATATGTATTGTTAAACCTGTTTAATGTTTTTTGCTATACTCATTTAATCAATATATGAACAAATTCGTTTAATGTGTATTGCAAGATTCATCTAATTAGTAAATGAACAAACTTATCTAATGTATATTAATAGACTCGTATAATTTGCATATGGACAAACTTGTGCAATGTATATTGCTAGACTTGTCTTATTAATGTATGTACAAATACGTCTAATGTTTGTTGCAAAACTTGTTTAACTAATTGTATCGTATATCTTGACACATGTCTCATGTCCTCAAATCTCATGGTTCGCAATACATAAGGAAGCAACTTGGTCGAGTACACATCGCCAACGACAATAAATAAGTGAAAAAAATCTCAACCACCTAATTTTAAGAGTAATCAACCCTCAATTTATGGTCAGAATCATGGCGATATGGTCGACTACATGTCGGTCAGGTAACAAATCATAACAGTATGGCCAGTTACATGTCAGCCATGTAGATCCAACATATGGACAACCTACTTAAGGTAGTAATTAAGGTACAATTAAGCATATAATTAATCAAAGACTAACCAAGGTAATTAGCCACATGAGTGAGGTCCATCCAGGTAAAAAAAACCCATCAACATAATATAAAAGCACGTAATATCAGGTAAATTATTTACATTCATTAATGGTTACATTTATTGTTTATGGATACACTTGAGCGTAGGAAGTGCGTTCTACAAGCATAACCCTTACCCGACTTAAAGAGGAGGAGCACCATTGGAGAAGACGAGTACACCTAGAGTTTGAAGCTTAGAGTGTTTCAAGTGCTTGTTGGAACTTTTACAAAATATACTTAGCCTGTAAAAAAACATTAATGTATGGACAAACTTATCTAACGAGTATTCTTAGACTCATAGTCAATGTATGAAATAATTTTCGTAATGTTTTTTGCTATACTTGTTTAATGATTGTATGAATAGACTTATCCAATGTATATTGTTAAACTTGTTTAATCAGTGTATCTATATTGTTAAACTTTTTTAATTAATGCATCGTCAAACTCATTTAATATTTGTTGTTATATTTTAAACTCATCTAATCATGTATGAATAAACTCGTTTAATGTATATTGTTATATTTATTTAATAATTTTTATTATATTCATTTAGTACAAATTTATATAGGATGTATATTGTTAGACTCATCTAATATTTTTTTACTAATCAATATATGTCTATATGTCTAATATATATTTTTAGATTCAGCTATTGAGAATATAAATCATTTAAAACATTTGGTTTATTAACTTTTACCTTTTGTTTTTGTCATTCCAAAATCTTAAATCTTACATAAGTTGAAAATTATACAAATTAATTCAAAGAATATAAAATAAAATTTGTTATATTGAAGAATGTGATCTTTTATTATAAATATATAAGGTAAATCTTTGGAATAAACTATTAAATACCGCAACTTTAATGTATTAGGTTCCAAATATAATTATTTAAAACATCATATTAATTTTTATACGCATATTAATGTTAGATTTTTATTAAATAATATTAGTTTAAATTTTACATACTAAAAATATAAAAATATGAAACAATTTATATTCCAATTTAATATAGGAAAAGATAAATATAATTTTTTGTTGACAATTTTTCGTAAAATAAAATTGTTATATTAACTTCTTTTTAATTTTATATATGACAGTGTGAATAATTTTTATTATTAATAAAAAGTATACATACAATTAATGAATCATTTCTTTATAAATCATATCATGAGAAATGTCATAAGTTCGAGATTTTTTATAATTATAATTTTAACATTCTCATCACAATATAATAATAATAATAATAACACTAATAATAATAATAATAGTTTTAATAAATAAAATAATGCCGCGTTACGATGTTTTATTAGAGCAGAACCTCATTTTGTCGTCTATTCACTCTTGAAAAAGTAACGACGACCTCCACTGCAGCAGCGATGTCACCGCAACAATAATCCAGAAAGCGATGTCCTCGTTTGAAGAAGCTACGAAGATCCGCTGAGATATTGGATTGAATTCCACGCACTCGAACAATTATAGAATCGGGTTCACTTTCCATCGCAATTTCGGTATCTTTACTTCCTGCAATTCAAACTCCAGTGACAAATTCTGTTGTAACTCTTCGATGTTTGACCTGTAGCTTCAGTTTCCGGTGTATAGAAAATTGAAGGCTTTGAACTGATATTTTGTTCGCTTGACTGGTGCAAAGGCTTGTGCTCTGTATCTTGGTGTTCTGGTTTTGCACTAGTCATTCGAATTGCACAATTTGCTAGAGGGTAATATCGGTTTGTGAGTGGGTTAGGGTTTTCACTAAGGTTTTATGGATTTATAGGGTTTATGTTTAAAAGGTAGCCAGTGACAGTAGCTTTAACTTGCTTTAGTTTGTTTTGAATTTGATCCAGTTGGAATTAGGGTGTTTCTTTGATGACGGTAGATTGAGGATGGTGAGGTTTTTAGGTTTAACTCTTGGTTACACAGAAGAACCCCGAGAAATAGCATCAAGATCGAATCTGACCAGTGAGTCTGGTGAAAATGGGTGGCTCATCAGGTTCTTTGACTCGGCGTTCTTTTGTGAGTGGATTGCTGTTAGCTACTTGTATAAGCATGATCACGCGGGGGTGCGTGATTATCTCTGCAATAGAATGTATACACTTCCGTTGCAAGGTGTTGAGAGTTATTTGTTCCAGATATGTTACATGATGATACACAAGCCTAGTCCATCCTTGGATAAATATGTGATAGATGTGTGCTCGAAGTCGCTTAAAATTGCTTTGAAGGTACATTGGTTCTTGTTGGCAGAGCTTGAGGACTCTGATGATAATGAAGGGATTAGTAGGATTCAGGAGAAGTGTCAGATTGCTGCCACCTTGATGGGTGAGTGGCCACCTCTAATTAGGCCTCAAACTGAACCTCCAAGTCCTGGAGGGAAGAGCCAAGTTTTGAATAGGTTACTGTCATCAAAAAATCGCTTGTTGTCACTAACGTCCTCACCACCTGGTCAGAAATCTTTATCATTTTCACCTTCCTCAGGAAACAGTTTGCAAGAGGATGGGAAACCAGTGTCTCCTGACGAGAACAAGATATTTAAGAAGTTTATGCCAGGCCCTAAGGTTAGAGATGCGTTTCTTTTTAGGAAGTCAGTGGACAAAGAGGATGATGGTTCTGAAAAGGATGGTTTTT